GTGAGATTGAGGGTGAGGGTGAGATTGAGGGTGAGGGTGAGATTGAGGGTGAGGGTGAGATTGAGATCGAGGGTGAGATTGAGATCGAGGGTAAGATTGAGACCGAGGGTGAGATTGAGGGTGAGATCGAGGGTGAGATTGAGATCGAGGGTGAGATCGAGGGTGAGACCGAGGGTGAGATCGAGGGTGAGATCGAGGGTGAGATCGAGATCGAGGGTGAGATTGAGATCGAGATCATGGGTGAGATTAAGGGTGAGATCGAGATTAAGGGTGAGATTGAGATCGAGATCATTGGTGAGATTAAGGGTGAGATCGAGATCATTGGTGAGATTAAGGGTGAGATCGAGATTAAGGGTGAGATTGAGATCGAGATCATTGGTGAGATTAAGGGTGAGATCGAGATCATGGGTGAGACTGAGATCGAGATCATGGGTGAGATTGAGATCGAGGGTGAGATTGAGATCGAGGGTGAGATTGAGGGTGAGGGTGAGATTGAGGGTGAGGGTGAGATTGAGATCGAGGGTGAGATTGAGATCGAGGGTAAGATTGAGACCGAGGGTGAGATTGAGGGTGAGATCGAGGGTGAGATTGAGATCGAGGGTGAGATCGAGGGTGAGACCGAGGGTGAGATCGAGGGTGAGATCGAGGGTGAGATCGAGATCGAGGGTGAGATTGAGATCGAGATCATGGGTGAGATTAAGGGTGAGATCGAGATTAAGGGTGAGATTGAGATCGAGATCATGGGTGAGATTGAGATCGAGATCATGGGTGAGATTAAGGGTGAGATCGAGATTAAGGGTGAGATTGAGATCGAGATCATTGGTGAGATTAAGGGTGAGATCGAGATTAAGATTGAGATCGAGATCGAGGGTGAGATCGAGATCGAGGGTGAGATCGAGATCGAGATCGAGGGTGAGACCGAGGGTGAGATTGAGGATGAGGGTGAGATTGAGATCGAGATCGAGATTGAGGGTGAAACACAATGTTACATTATCCCCACCCTGCTTGCAATCCGCGAAGCCACTTACGTCAGAAAAAGAGAGAGGGGGAGAGTGGGAGATCCTGCGCAAGCCTTAAGTCCCGTCCGCAGCCACAGACCCCACAATTCACACAGTACTGGTTTGCGCTAGACCTAGAGATTTGCCCCAAGCTCCAAACCTGACCTGCTGACTTGTACTGTCTCGATATAGTTACGCTGACAAAAAATCTCTTCCGGAGGAAGGAGTGACTGTCTTTAGAATAAAAGGCCATCTGAAGCAAAGAGCGGACTTCCGGCGGACACTTTTTTTGGCTCAGTGGACCATCTTGTTATGTACTATCTTTGTCAATAAGCATTGTCCGGACAAGTTGGGAATAATATTCGTGAAGAAAAGAAACCAAACCGGACAAGGTCGTGATAGGCTAGCAGTTGGACGGATGCTACAGGACAGGCTGAACAAGGTCGCAGATTGGTGTGAGGAATACAATGCGGTCATAAATCCAGACAAAGCACAGGTCATCTGGTGCTCACTCATAAGGTGGCACAGGCAAAGCTGTACTTGAATGTTCTGGGAGACCCGAGGCACCCTTTGCATGACAACCTGGCCAGCATCAAAGGAAACAGGATCAAACGGGGCAGCTCATGGATGGCAGAAGCCGAAGACTCCTTGAGGAAAGTTTGTGGCATCGATGAAATATGCTGTGGAAAGAAATGGTTTGAACTGAACTCCGATTGCAGAAGCCTGGCTAACGTTCACATCACTATGGGTCGTGAAAGACGGGAATGTGCTGCTGTCATTAACGACAATGATATACGACAGTTAATTGAGGAGCATTCCAAGCCAGAGGACCCAGTGATCTATACGGATGGATCAGTTAGGAGGGGTGAAAGAAGTGAATGGGGTTTTGTAGTGTACAGTGGGAACAAAAAGGTTCATGGCATGTCAGGGGCCATAGAAAGAACAACTTCAAGCATGAAAATGGAGATTGAGGCCGAAACAAGAGCGCTTGGATGGCTTCATAATACAAGACCAAGAATTACTCATCTCATCATTGTCACAGACTCCCAGAGCGTCTTGCGAAGGGTTGAGAAAGGGCTTCTTCGGAGTGAATGGATGAACCCAATACAACACTCATCACTTAGAGCCATCACGTGGATATTCTGTCCTGGGCACTCTAGAGTGAAAGGCAATGAGGAGGCTGATTGGCTGGCAGGCAGTGCCGTGGTTGTTGGTAAGGTGAAATTTGACAAAGGAGAAGTGTTGAAGACCCTGGAGAAAAAGTTGCGGGATGAAAAAGATAAGGAGACAGCAGAACACCGCGCAATCATTAGGATGCGGGAAATGGGGATAGAGAGGGGAGAAGGAAGAAAGGAACGATTATCTGGAAAGGAAAGACGTCACCATAATCATACAGCCACCGGAACAATCAGTATAGATACCTTGCGGGCTTTGGTGCTGGGGGGAACTGAGCACTTGTGGACCTGTCCGGTGTGCAATGATGTTGTTGCCCAGGACATGTTATACAGGTAATTCCCAGCTTTTGCTGTTGTTGTTGTTTTAAAATGATTTTTTCTTCCTAGCGGTGGTTTTTAGTCGGAAAATGCCAAAAATCGCGGCCGCGACAAACGTAGATGCTAGGTATTCGTCATTCCGTCATTCTTCAATGAGTTTCTGTGGTTAAAGGTTAACTTGTGCAAGCTAACGGGGCGCTGGTGAGTACTCTCTATCTCTTTATATTATTATTATTTCTGTTGATTATGTGGAAACATGGGTTATATATATATTTGTGTGTGTGTG